ACATATATTATAAGTTTAATAACTAAAATGTATATATATAAACTTAACGAATTAAACTAACAAAATTATTAAAAATATATATTTTTATAGTTAAATAATAAAAACTATAAAAAAATTAATTCAATAATTAAAAAATATTTATAATTAAAAATTCAAACACTAAAAATGACATTAAAAAGAAAGTGTGTGCAGGTAATAATTATTAGCTTTAATTATTAGTTTGGTGTATGTGAATGGAAAGTATTTCAGCTTAAGTTAATTTAAGTTGAGATGATTTGAAGATGATTATAGAACTTTTTATATAGGGTTCTCGCATTGGAGCTTCTCGTTTTCTACCTGACGGATTTCTTGCTCAATGCTCTCCAGTCTGTTCGCGATATCCATGTCTACTCATTTTCTTGCCGACTTCTAAGTGCCCTTTGCCAAATAGAGACTAAAAGGAGTTTCAATCTATACGCGGTGGAGGCCGTTAAACCTTTCTTATTATTAGTAAGTATTCTTGTCAATTAGTTCCGGTTCAACCCCGGCTTTTCATGAATATCGAACCCCCTCCACTATATTTCAATGCGAAAGGCCCACCCCTGAGAAAAAAAGGGTCGGTATCGCCACGCGTTTTAATCCTGATCACTCCCTCAAGAATAGGAGGCAACAACAGAGCGAATCTGTCATAGAGTACTCCACCACGAGCTGCCAAAGTACACTCAGTCAATCGTCAATCTTCAGCAACGGACAAAACCATGTCATCCGTCCTTCTTTACCTAGCCGGCTAGCCCACTGGCTTCGTCGTCCTTTGTCTACTCCTCTTTAACTGGCTCCTACGTGTTTTTCTTTCACTGACTTATTTGTACCTAGTCACATCATGGTATCTTCTTTTAAATGTAATAAATATATATTTTTATAGTTAAATAATAAAAAATATAAAAAATAATTCAATAATTAAAAATTCAAACACTACAAATGACATTAAAAAGAAAGTGTGCGCAAGTAATAATCATTAGCTTTAATTATTAGTTTGGTGGATGTGAATGCAAAGTAATTTAGCTTAAATTAATTTAAGTTGAGATGATTTGAAGATGGTTATGGAACTTTTTAAATAGGGTTCTCGCATTGGAGCTTCTCATTTTCTCCTGACGGATTTCTTGCTCAATGCTCTCCAATCTGTTCGCGATATCCATGTCTAGTCATTTTCTTGCCGACTTCTAAGTGTCCTTTGCCAAATAGAGACTGAAAGAAGTTTCATTCTATACGCGTTGGAGGCCGTTAAACCCTTCTTATTATTAGTAAGGAATCTTGCCAATTAGTTCCGGTCCAACCCCGGCTTTTCATGAATATCGAACTCCCTCCACTATATTTCAATGCGCTGAAGATCCATACGGATTGGAGTACGAAAGGCCCACCCCCGAGAAAAAAAGGGTCGGTATCACCACACGTCTTAATCCTGATCAATCCCTCAAGAATAGGAGGCAACAACAGAGCGAATCTGTAATAGAGTACTCCACCACGAGCTGCCAAAGTACACTCAGTCAATCGTCAATCTTCAGCAACGGACAAAACCATGTCATCCGTCCTTCTTTACCTAG